CAGTACAAAGTAGGTTGCTAGAAAATTTGAAATTGCCTTTCAGCCTAAAGCTGCCTTACCTGAATGTCATAATTACAGTAATTATGTACATCCAAATTACATGCTAATTAAATTAGAATCAAATCGTTCTAAATCGAAATCAAATGAGGTAGTGAAGAATTAATCAATGACAACATAAATAGAGAGCTTCCTTCAGAGATATTTATTGTAACGATCCAAGGAGGAATTTGATCTGAAAAAGTCACCTGTTTATTTACTTTCAAATTAGTAATCAGTTATTATCCCTTCTCCATAATTTTAAACGTTCAGTGTTATTTACCCCCCACCCTTTGCAGACGTTGGAGTTTATAGAAATATGTATGAGGTAAATACATACAGAGATGCCTCCCCCATATATTATTGATATAAATACATACAGTGTGTTTGCAGCTCCAGTTAAGGGGAAGGTTTCAGAATGTCCGTGGGGACATATGCTGCCAGGGCTTGTTCTTAGGGACCCGGGAAAGCAAAGCACCTAAGACTTAGGTTTTCCAACACCCTTGCACTCTCTTCCTTTGAAACACTCATACTGGAGATTTTGCATTGTTTTGCAAGCATCTAACCATTTCTGTGTGATTAATATATAAAAGAAATACAAAGTCATAGGCTGTCTTCCCCAGTCCGTTTTCTGCTTGCAGATTACTGGCGAGAGTTGACATTTTCATTTTTGTCCCAGGAACGTGAAATTAACAACGGCTTAATAAAATGCCCCCTTCACCTGTGGAGCCTGAGGGACAAGAAAAGAAATTCGCTTGCTTTCGTGACTACTGGAGACAAGTCCGCCCTGCGACCTGCGCAGGAGGAACGAGCGGGAAGTCCTGGCGAGCTTAGACGGGAAATGGCAGGCGAGGGCGCGCCGCGGCCCCGGCACATGGCTCCCCAGGGCGCAGCTCCCGCGGCCGGCAGCCTCATGGAGGGGCCCCGGAATTTCTTCTGGGTGGGTTAGGGCAACTGGGGAGAAAGCCCGTGCAGCGAGCTAACCCAGACTCTTTCTCCATTACACCTTCGGGGTGGAGAGTCAAGTGGCCTCCTCGCTCAGGAGGCGCACCTTATAGGAGGGGTTTGCGCCCCCTAATTCTCAGACTTTCCATTTGGTTTTGGAAGCCCCGCTCTGGTCATCACAGGAGCCCTCGAACCTCCACTTGTTGCCCACTTCCTCGGGAAACTCTTGGAGCCGGAGGAACTGGGTATTTCTGTGTCTACGAGTGGGTTTTCGAAAAGCGGCTCACCGGCAATTTGGGCCAGTGTGCGTTTCTTTCCGTTATTAGCAGCTCCTCGCGTTTCATCCCCACCTCGCTTCCTTATTATAGTTACATTCTGGGGGTGATGTTAAGTGTGGCATAAGGGGAGGAGAAAGGGGAAGGTGGTGAAAAGTATGTGCTTCCTTCCTTTTCTGTCAGTAGGAACCGGGTTTTCGGGGTCTCCGTCAGTTAGGGGAGCTCTGTCAGTTGCTATCGCATTTCTCCAACCTTAGCGTTCCCTCAGTATTATTTATTCCTCGCTATTTAAAAAAAAATTTTTTTTCTCCTTTTCGATCTGAAAACATTCCCAAGGCCTGCAGCTATTGCATGCATTTCTTTATCTCGTTTCAAGAAATGGTAACTATAACAAAGGTTTTCTTTTCAGAAAACCTAAAAAAAGCTTTCTTGTTCATATCCTTCAGTTACTGAAGCTAAAATGCAGCTGTCTCCATGGTCTTAAGCATAGGATGTGGAGATCTGGGATGCGGCTTACTGAGCGGCCTTCGCCAGCGTCTTGGCCCAGTGGTCATTAGGTAAGGAGCAGAATGAAATGGCTCAGGTGGATTTTGAAACCTTTGAGCTTCAATGCTAAAGCATACTAAGCACTGGGTGATTAAAACTGGGAAACGCCGTGCTCCTAGCAGCGTGGGCTGATTTGATTCAATGCCAGGTAACGGTCTTACGGAAGAACAGCAAGAAATGTCTCTTCAACGCTTTCAGATAAAAAGCTTTCTTCGGATTACAACCCTATGATTCAAAATAAGATCGGCATTTCCTTTTGTAAGGTAAGACGACCTGCGGGCAGGCCGCATCAACCTCTGCCTGTTTTGGCACATTTATTAAATGGAGTTAGGGCTGACTTATCCCATAGACATTCAGATAAATAAACAAGTTCTAACCTAGCAACCTGATCTTTCTGACATTTGTAAATCGACAGCACCTCCTACAGGAATTAATTTGCTAGTGTTAAATTATGTCAAACATTAGGCCCGGGATGGGGGGGCGGGGGGAAGGGAAGGAGGCGTTTAAAAAAAAAAAAAAAAAGTCTCCTATGCCTCCCAGTGCAGTTCTAGGCCCACGAGCAAATAAGAACCGTCATTAGGTATATCTAGATTTTTAAAAAGACCTTCTCTACTAAGGGAAAGAGGGATGACAAATGTCATCAGACTTTTTTTCTGTAGTTTTCTACAAATTGTCACTGTTGAGGACTTTTTTGGGTTCTTGAATCTTAGATTCATTAAGCTTGGAGGATTCTTCTTTGGCTCTCAATATTTAACAGAATCTCTACACATAGCTAGACATCCTTTTTATTATGAGCTTCATCTCTTCCATTTTAGATTTCACAAACAAAAGAATTAAAAGTCTAACATTTTTATAAATAAAAATTATTAGGATATGTGGAACAAGGTGAGCCTCTTTAAAACTTTCTTACCATGTCATGATTGTTTGTGAAAATGCCTCCCTTGGAGAGTAGGAATGGAAGTGATCCCAGCCCTGCTCTGATCTTTAGGATGTCTAGCTCCCTTGGGTGACCAAGGCTGAAAGCCAAACAGTAAATCAACATCTTCCATAACTACATGAGGATTTTCTCACAATTGGATGGGTAAGCATATTGGTTTCTGTTAGCACTTTTATAGTTTCTCAGTTTTAAAATGAAGGAAAATCAAAGCAGACATCTAAAATTCTTAAAGGCAACATAAAAAATTAAAGGTGGACTACACTTTTGTGACAGTCAAATGAGAAATGTGTGAGAAATGGTAATCTATTTCTCTAATTCATTTTAAATTACAGGATGCATTTCAGCATTTCTCTTCATGAACACTGTATTGGTTCAGAAGCCTTTTAAGGTAGTAAGTATTGCATAGGTTTTGACATTAGAAAAATTATAAAGTCTAAAAAGGCATGAGGTAGAAAATAATCACTGCAACACTGATGAACTCAAGGTGTAAATTAGCAGCCTTTATCAATTTCAAATGCATGATTTTTTTTAAGGAAAGGAAAGGGATCTTTGAGGAGCACTCTAAGTTATTAAAAAACACTATAGAAGGAATTCAAGTTCCCTTCTCTGCCACCTCCATCCCCCCATTAAAAAATCTAAATGAAAAGGGTTGCTTAGGCCTTTAGTTAGCTCATTCTAAACTGTGGGACATTTGTTTTGTGTGTGTGCATAGACAACATGGAGTGATTTCACTTAACTCCTCTTTCATATTTATTGTTCTTGTAGAACTTACAAAATTATGACTTCCAACCCTAAAAACCATCTAACGAATATTTGTACTGTATTAAATAACAGATGTTTTTAAAATGTGGAACCCTGATAACAAAAATAGTTACGTCCATGATGTGAAGTACACCCTCTCCTCACTTACTGACGTGGGATGTGGTTACACTTCAAAGACCAGGTCATTATGCAAAATCAGCATTATGTGAAAATCAAGGATGACTACATCAGATCGCAAAATGGAGGATGACTACATCATTACATAACTGCCAAATTATATCATTATGTAACTGCCAAATCACTGAGAATCATGGCCCAGCCAAGTGGACAGATGACTTTAACCATTACAGCCAGCGTTACTCTTGCCTTGCACCTTGGTGTTCGTTACTGCCAGATGCCAGATGTATGTCGTTAATGCACAAAATAGATAACAGCTTTTTTACTACTGTCATAAATGCAAAATGTTGGAGACGGTGAGAAGGTGTATATTTTTTTTTGGAATTGCGTGTTACTTTTGATTGGCATTATTTTTTTCTATAGTTTTTCGTTACCATAGCCTTTGAAACACGAAGGAAAATTTGCAGCCACATTTAAATATGCTTTATATACCTATATTTAAAAAAAAAAAACGAATCCCTTGCCATCGATTTTGACTCATAGTGACCCTATACACTAGAAAACTGCCCCACAGGGTTTCCAAAGACCAGCTGGTGGATTCGAACTGCTGACCTTTTAGTTAGCAGTGGAGCTCTTAACCAGTGCACCACTAGGGGTCTGATGTACCTATACTTATGAAATATATTTAAATAGTGTGCATGATTCCATTTATGACATTATATAAATGTTTAACCTTCAGAAGTAAAATCTTAATAGCTATATGCCAGTACTAGAAAGGCCATCTGTGGTAGGCAAAGTAATGGTCCCTCAGAGATGTCCACATCCTTATCCCTGGAACTTGTAAATATGTTACATTACATGGCAAAGGGGAATTAAGGTTGCAGATAGAATTTAAGTTGATCTTAAAACAGAGAGATTACCTTGTATTCTCTGGGTGGACCTAATATAATCAATCACAAGGTCCTTACAAATGGAAGAGGAATGCAGGTCAGAGTGTCAGAGTGATGAGATGGGAAGAGGACTTGACTGTTTGTTAGCTTTGAAGATGGAGGAAGGGGGTCAGGAACCAAGAAATGTGGGCAGCCTCTGGAAGGTGGAATAGGTAAGGAAACAGATTTTCCCCTGGAACCTCCTGAAAGAACATAGCCCTGCCAACACTTTGATTTTAGCCCAGTGAGAAACATTTCAGTCTTTTGATCTCCAGAACTGTAAGCTCATAAACTTACGCTGCTTTAAGTTACTAAGATTGTTACAGCAGCAATAGAAAACTAACACTTTACCCTGTAGATCAAAACACCTGAAGGGAATTTAAGTCTTAAGGGAATATTGATCAATTCTTTGTTTAATTCACACTAGTGAATTTCAAATGATTACACCTGGCTTCAAGCAAATTTAAATTTTAAAATAACAAATTTGAATTAAAAAAACAAAAATTCAATTATAGCCATTCAATGTACTGTCATTCTTTTAATGATATTTCAGAACAAAGAAAATATCACACACTTATATGGGGTTTTTATCTAGTATAGGGCACAAGAAAGATTTACCAACAGAAAATATTTCTACAGCTTCAAAACAGATTACTCACAAATACTTGCAAAATTAATTCTTATGGTATTCATGTAGTTTTGTACTTAAATGGCAGTTTACAGAGATGGAAAATTGGAGTTTTTTTTTTATCAGAAAGACAATAGTATATAATTTAGCCCTTACTGAAGGTATTCAATAAGAAAGTAGAGATATTTTTATTCCTGGTAATATCACATATAGTCTCTCTTTATTTTCTCTCTACTTCTGCTTCGTTCTCTTTGTGTCACTTTAGTATGCTTATCTCCTGAGTTCTCTCTGTGCATTTTTTCTCCTCTGTGTGTATCTGTGCCACGGCTTCTGGTGTCATTTCTGTTCTGCTCTTCACTGGGGCTGCACTGTGTCCATTTTCTAATCTCCCTCTGCTTGTAACTACTGTGACTTCTGCTTCGACTTCTCCTACCCTTCTCATCCCTGCTCTGGCTTCTGCTGCTTCTCTCATTTCTTTCAGATCCTCTCTTCTTTGGGCTATAGTTACGGCTTTTGGACTTTCTGTCAGAATTCGAATGGCTCCATTTGCTGTTCTTCCCAGAACTCTCTCGTTTTAAAAACCTAGGCTTTTCCCTGTCTTTTTCCTTGTTACTATGACTGCTAGAAAGTTCTTCATAAAGTTTTCTCTTCTTAGATTTGTCTTTCTCTTCAAAATCACTGCTGTTATACCCCGAACACTTGTTTTTCTTTCTTTTCTGCTTTTGTATTTTTTTTTGTTTGTCGTCACTCTCACTGCTGCTTTCTGAAGTCTCGATGGAGGAAGAAGAGGAGGAGGACGAGGAGGAGGAGGAGGAGGAGGATGAGGAGGATTTGCTTTTATGTTTTTTGTGTTTACTTCTGCTCTTCTGAAGCTTTTTCTTTTTTCTATCTCTTTTCTTTTTCTTCTCAAGTCGATCCAACTTCCTGTAATTGGGAAAAAACAGCAACAGATATAATTGTGTAAAAAATAGTCCTTTCATCAACAACTATAAAATTGTTAATAGATAACATACTTTCTTAGAAGCTACTAAAACTGGTATCCAAATATAAATACATTATTTACTCTATTAAATGACAAATATTTTTCTTCTTTTCAAATTATTCTAGTCATATATACATTAAGTTTAAAAATAAAAACTTAAATGCAGTAAGCCAATTTTCTAACTATACTCTTCTCAATAGCAATTGCCTTAAAAAAAATTGTTAGTGACTCAGAATTTAAGATTACACAGCACTCTAAATAACTGGTCATCCTGACCTAAAGAAAGAGCCCTGGTGGCACAGTGGTTAAGTGGTACGGTTGCTAACCAAAAGTTGTCAGTTCGAATCCACCAGCCGCTCCTTGGAAACCTTATGGGGCAGTTCTACTCTGTCCTATAGGGTCGCTATGAGTTGGAATCGACTCAACAGCAACAAGTTTGGTTTAGTGTGGACCTAAACAAAGCCTGCAAAAAGTTTGTAACATTAGTTGGATCTACAGGAAACTCAAATATATAGCTATAATCAGATGGAAAAATTAATTTTATGTATATATTATGTTAAAATTAACATTAATTACATTACCAAAATTCAAAAGCATATTCTTCAGAAATTCTGAATATGAACATGCTTAAAAGTTTTTTTATATTATCTTTTGGTTATATAAAAC